AAAACCGCAGCTAGTATGGATATTCAGTATATTACAGAACGCAAATACAGAAAAATGTATTGACCAGTTCTTATTGACTATTATCATCATCATCATATAGGCACTTACTGTACACTATGATCAAAGTGACCCTTGAAATACACCTACAAAGCCAACAGCAGTAGCAGCAGGTGGCTTCCAGAATGCATCTATGGCTGCAATTTCACTCACTTTATGGAGCCTTCTGATTTAAAGGGACACTAAACTCTAGTTTAAAAAAAAAAAAAAATTCTATTCAAAGTATGTATTCTTAACTTTAAAACAGAGCTCCACCCAAAAGGGGAAGTTCCGCTTTAAGGACTGCTTCTCCGCTCCCCATTAAGGATTAGCCTAGGGGGCCCCTCCCAGGCCACTGACAGACAGTCTCCTCAGCACTCCATCTGACACCCAACCCAGCTGGCCTGACTAACACATATTTATGGGCTGGTCCACCACTCTACAAGGGCCTCCAAACCTGGGATTGATTAGACTCCTATAAACACGCAGATTAGGTCTCCACCTCTTCCGCCTACTGGCTTCTGGGAAGTTCCAATGATCCTCCAGAACCAGGTGGAGGCGATAAGAGTCTCAACCTGTTAAGTCATCCAGTTTCACCTGCAGTAAACCGACCTTAATCACAGACTCAAACAGTTACCATGGGTCATACACAATAGATTTGCGTACACTACTCTAGTAGCACACTAGAAGGTGCTACGTTTAAAAAAATGCAGCTGTTAGGAGGCGTGATTTTTTTTTTTTTCTGCCTCCAAATGCCCCTCTAGGTTAGCCTAGGTCTCCTTGCACATACAGGCATTTAGAGTCAGATATCTATCCCTGATGATGAAGTCACGTGACAACGCATAGGATGAAAGCAAGGCAATGCCCTTCTAGTATGCAACAAGAAGTCCCCATTTTGGTACACCTCTGATACGAGCTGTGTATGGGCATTATTGCCCACTTCTCTTGTGAGTTTCATTTTATTGCATTCCTTTTTTATTAAAACTTTTTCACTATGGGAAGCTCTCTCTGTTTATTTTATGAGCGATCCTTGCATTTATGTCAAAGCGAATCTTCTGGAGGAAACATACCTGTCATTGTCACGGGATCCTACGGAACTAGTTGGAGTGGTCGTGGATATTCATCTAGCACTTTTTGACCTACATAGTATATAGGTCAAAAAGAAGATGAGTGTGCACGCCTGGTAGTGGCTGAGCACCGTGGTGAAAAATTGTGAAGAGTCACTTTATAAATTTGGGGAAAGAAGTGAAATGTGCATGCTGTATTATCTGGAAATTCATATTACAGACTCAAATTTATGTTTGAGATTTTTTCTTTTTCGATGTGTTTGATGGTCATCCGGGCGTTTACTAGATATATAGTTTATTTTTCATTATCCTATTAGGGATACTATTGAAGTTTGTACACTCACTTGAATTTATTTTTGTACTCATTCATTACTGGAGAGGTTTATTTGCATTTGGTTGGATGGTCAGTCGGATGTTTGCCAAGTATTGTTCATGTAAATTATTACACACTTGGCTTATTTATTTATGGTGTTATGTTGCACTAGTTCATTTGCTTCACTTATTGGTGAAGGCGGTTTCTGACATTTATTTAGCAGCGCCACACTACACACATTTATTTCATGGTGAAGCCACTGGCTCTTGGCTGGGAAATTCAGGTATATTCAGTAAAAAGCCAATGCTATTGTATACATAATCTCATAATAGAAGGACCAACTTCCCAATTGGGAACCATCCACCCCAAATGTAAGTAAGTGATCATAAAGTCAGCATGGTAGTCAGGCACTTATATTAAAAAGAGGGGGCTCTTATAAATATCTTAGAAACAAACTCAGTTCACATCAGTCCAGTCTGACTACATATTTTGTTCATAGCTGTACATGATTTGCTGGGATGTAGACATCTTAAAAAAAAAAAAAAAAAAAAAAAAAAAAAAAACCACAGTCTGGGTTCCTCTCCTGCTGTACTTCTTAGACAGGTTGGTTTGAAAAGTGTCAAACTCCTTTCAGTGTCTACTCCAGCTTTCTGAGTCATCAGCATTCTGTCCCTCTCACTTCCATCAACTCTAAACAATAGTTTTGCTATGCTGGAAAAACACCAAAGTGCTCATTGTGAAGCTTTTAGCCAGCAGATATGTTTAACCTCCTGCTGACAACAGAACAAATATCTGCAGTGGCAAGGAGGGCGGGGCTTAACACCCACACATGGTGTCCACGCTGGCAAAAGTCTCTGAAAGCGCTGTGTGCTCTCAGCACAGTGACCAAGCTGTCATATACATCTCCTAGTGTCCGTTTGTGATTGGGAGCCAATGGGACATGCCCCTGATCAGGTGACCACTGTGAGAGTCATTCATTTGGATCATATCAGGAAGTCTGTCCTGCCCCCCACCCCCAGACATAAATACCCAGTGGAATGGCCGCTGAGAGGGAATGGGAAGGGGTCAAAATGTAACCAAATGTAAAACTTTCTTTTTTTTGGACCGCATGGAGATAGATTAGAACACTTGTCAGGTTTGTATTGCTGTCTGTGCCACTGTTAAGGAGAATCTCCCTCTCCATTTGTCCTGTTTACTGGGTTTTTGGGTTGTCAACAAAACAGTAATAGAAGGGAAATCATCAAATGAGACACTAGTTCTGGTGGCAGCACAGGATTCCGTCACTTTGGAGGGATTTTCTCTCGCTCACTGCTTAGGCTATGGGACAGGAAGTGAAGGGAAATCTCCCCAAGACGAGACAGAAGGGAAGAAAGAAAACCTGACGGGTTATAACCCTCACTTACTCTATCCAAAATAGAAGAAAAAAAAAAAAAAAGGTTCAGCATCCATTTCATAAGTATATTTCAGACAAATTTAATTCATCAAAAAAGGTGTATGTATACATTACCCAGTGTCCCAGTTTTTTTCCTCTAACACTTTCAGTTTGTACTACAGTTAGGTCCATATATATTTTTACACAGGCACAATTTTAGATTTTTCAAGTATTTAGCAAAACATATTCAAGCTATTCGGCCCCCCTTTTTCAAGGGACCAAAAAAATTGGACAAATGAATATAATCATAAATAAAATGTTCATTTTTAATATTTGGTTGAGAATCCTTTACTGGCAATGACTGCCTGAAGTCTGGAACCCATGGACATTACCAAAGATTGGGTTTCCTCCTTTCTGATGCTTTGCCAGGCTCTAACTGCAGCTGTCTTCAGTTCTTTGTTTGTGGGTCTTTCTTCCTTTAGTTTTGCCTTCAGCAAGTGAAATGCATGTTCATTTGGGTTGAGATCAGGTGATTGACTCGGCCAATACAGAATATTCCACTTCTTTTCCTTCAAAAGCTTCTGGGTTGCTTTTGCAGTGTGTTTTGGATCATTGTCCACCTGTACTGTGAAACGCTGTCCAATCAACTTTGCTGCATTTGGCTAAAATCGGGGCTGACAGTATATCTCTAAACACTGCAGAATTCATCCAGCTGCTTCTGTCTTCTGTCACATCATCAATAAACACCAATGACCCAGTGTCACTGGAAGCCATGCATACCCATGCCATCACACTGCCTCCACCATGTTTTACAGATGTCGTCGTGTGCTTTGGATCAGGAGCTGTTCCAAGCCTTCTCCACACTTTTTCCTTCCAGTCATTCTGGTACAGATTAATCTTAGTTTCATCTGTCCAAAGAATGCTTTTCCAGAACTGGTCTTGCTTTTTTAGATGTTTTTTGGCAAAGTCTAACCTGGCTTTTCTATTCTTCAGGCTTAAGAATGGTTTGCACCTTGTGGTGAACCCTCTGTATTTGCTATTGTGATGTCTACTCTTGATTGTAGACTTTGACAAGGATATGCCCACCTCGGAGAGTGTCCTTCACTTGTCTGGATGTTGTGAACGGGTTTTCCCCTTTACCATAGAAAGGATCCTGTGATCATCCACCTCTGTTGTCTTCTGTGGATGTCCATGCCTTTTTATGTTGCTGAGCTCACCAGTGCATTCTTCTTCTTTCCTCATAATGTTGCTGGTATCTTTCTGATGAATTGGTTTGTTTTTTTAAGCCTTACAATGGTCTGGTTCACTTTCATGGACAGCTCCTTTGAACGCATGATGTAGGTTCACAGCAATAGATTCCAAATGCAAATACTACACTTAGAATAAACTCCAGACCTTTTACCTGCTAAATTGATGAAGAAATGACAAAAGGAGTAGCTCACACCTGGCCATGAAACAACTTTTGATTCAATGGGCCAATTACTTTTGGTCCCTTTAAAAAGGAGGGATGGCTAATCTTAAAAACTGTAATTCCTAAACCATGCCTCCAATTTGGATTAATCCTGATTGTGCACTTTCAGCCCATATCCATTATATAGCTATAGCTTGAATATATTTTGGTAAATATGTGAAAAACTATAATTGTGCCCGTGTCCAAATATATATGGACCTAACTTTATATCACCTTTGGATATTTGCGGAATTAGCAAGTAAGAGCAGATTAGCAAATGATCCACCGAGAACATGCTTATGATCCGTTAAGAACCGTGCATGTGAAAATGTTATAAATTTGCTTTAGCAGAATGAGAATCGAAAAAGACTATCCAGCAGAAACGAGTCTGGAATACATTTTCTTGCAGCTGATATTGCTATATTATACAACAGAATGACCCAGTATGGATGTCAAAACCTAAAGCCTAATGACAACCAAAACCTTTTACTAAGGAAGGCATAGAGTTAGGTTTTTATTTCTTGCCTGTGCTCCCCATCAGGGAGAGTTCTCCCCATTTCTGGGACAGGAAGTGATTGTAAATTTCTCTAGAGGGGACACAGACTGCAACAAAACGCTTTTTCATAAAAATAAAGGAAAGGTTAGTAGCTTTGTCAAGCAATTAATACTGTTTTTGTCTTCAGATTGCAATGACACCTTGTCCTATCACAGAGACAAGAAAAAAGTGATTTTTAATTCACCTGCCAAAATGTCAATGCTTACCATCATGTAACTGGAAGGCCAGTGTTGTGATTTTCTGAGTAACAATCATCAATGGCCTAAAACAGAAAGACATTATTATAATATCACCAAACATTACAGGTATGTTTATGCACCTAATAGTGCATTATATGCATTGCCTACTTGTTGCCAGCATGTATTGTAAAGACAAGCTACTATAGACGGTTAGTTCACCTTTAATAAACAAAAACACCTACGTAGGCAAGGGGCACTTAAAACTAATTGTGCAGTTCTGACTAAAATTGAATAATGCTCTTGTTATAGGTGTAGGCCATTTTCATACCTCCCAAAGCCTGACTGGAATACTCCCAGGACATTGCTAAGTGAGGCCTACTCATTACTGCTCACCTCCACCATCACAGGAATGAGCTTTTTCTCTGATTCAAACCCCCGTATATGCTCTCTTTCCCCTGATGCAGTAGTTCTGAGCTCAGTGTTTGAGAACTCACTCCTGTGATGGTGGAGGTGAGCATTACCTACTAGGCCTCACTTAGCACCGTACTGGAAGTGTTTCAGTCAGGCTTGATGAGGTATGCAATTGGCCTACACCTATAGCAAGGACATTATTCAACTGTAGTTAGAACTGCACAATTAGTTTTAAGGACCCCTTACCTGCATAGGAAGGTTTTTTTTGAGAGAAAAGAGAAAAAAGCTCATTCCTGTGATGGTGGAGGTGAGCAGTAATGAGTAGGCCTCACTTAGCAATGTCCTGGGAGTATTCCAGTCAGGCTTTGGGAGGTATGAAAATGGCATCCTATAACACCTATAACACCTATAACAAGAGCATTATTCAATTTTAGTCAGAACTGCACAATTAGTTTTAAGTGCCCCTTGCCTACGTAGGTGTTTTTTGTTTATTAAAGGTGAACTAACCGTTTATAGCCGCTTGTCTTTACAATACATGCTGGCAACGCGTAGGCAATGCATATAATGCACTATTGTCTTTATCCACAAACACCCCTTATCTACATAGGAAGTTTTTTGTAAAGGTGAACTAACCCTTTAACAAATAGTGCTTAGGAACAACATTTTCTATTCTGTGTAACTGACAGTTGTGGATAACAGTTCGTTTACACCCATTTCTCAGGTTATTTCTTGTTACATACTTACTGCATGCACTTACCCAGAGAAGTCCGTAGTAAGGATGCCATAGTTGAATATGTACACTCTGTTAATCTGGCACAATATCAGATAACTCATGGCAGTTGTAAAGCAGTACCTGTACAAAATAAATAAAGTAAAACCACGCTGTGTCTCAATTAGCTGTGTCCAACAATTAATCTGTTCCAACATTATTCAAAGGAGGACTATAAACAGCTAAAGCACCATCTTGTTTGTGCTGAACTATAAATTATTAGATGTTAAAAATACATTTATTGATATAAATATGGCTAAAGCCATAAGAATTGTCAAGCTGGAACATAAAATGAACAGCGCTGCACAGAAGGAAATGCTTGTGTAGCACCCTCCTAGTAAGCTAGGGGGAGCTAGACTGCAATTGTTAGTTAGGGCTTAGTAGCAGCTTGGGTGTGATAGCTAGCAGGGGTCAAATTATGGTCAGAGCTGAGAGGCTCTGCAGACTAGCCCTCTGGAATTTGCCCTTGCTCTAGGACTTTGGAGAAAGATCTAGAAGCAGTGGGTGGATCTGAGGAGTGTCTGGTCTGTGCTCTTAGAGGATCCTGGCCAATCCCCAATAGGAGGCTTGGCAAGCGGCCAAGACAGCCTTTAGGAGTAACCGAGCCTGCTCAGTAGGAGGAAGTTGTGGTTGGAGAGGAGTTGGAGGAGAGTTGAGGAGAATGTGAGGCGGGAGGCAGGAGCTTGTGAGGGGGCCAAAATGGAGAGGGGATCACCTACAGGCAGAGGACCTTAGAAGGAGGAAAGCTCAGAACTCCATCGGCCCCCTGAGAGAGGACCACCTGTGAGGCAGGGAAGGAGCAGCCCAACTAAAAGGCCTGGTAGCAACCACTGGCCCATCAGCAACACAGGAGGACTGAGTAAGTAGGCCTGCACCCCCTGGGCCAGATAGGGGAAGGATTACTCTGCTGAGAAACTAGATTAGCAATCACCCGGGACTGTCTTATTTATTACCAGCTTCCTGACAGCCC